TCTATCGATGCTCCCCTCCAAAAGGAAAGAGCCCAAAATGCTGAAGGACAGGACACTGACCACCACACTGGAGACCACCCCGGTGGCGAGTTTGGCACCCTTGTTCAAAATAATTATTACTACTATCATTATTATCATGGTGACAGGCGCGTGTCTTACGAACACTCGTACACTTTTACGCGCGAAACAAGGGTGTAGAAATACAAGTTGTTTGATAGAAAATGCACGCAAATTCTGACTATTGATTACTATATTAACGTTCGAGTCCTTTGAACTTGAAGTATATTTTAGAGTAATAAATATGCTGATTTGGTATAACACTTCTATTATATGTCCAGAATTGCACGATTTGGCGAAAATGGCGAGTTTGGCGACGATTCTCCAAAGTTTTAGTGAGCTACTATTTGCGTAAAAAGTTGCAATTAAACTGATGAGTTGAGTGCGTTCTGTAGGAACTTGAATAATACTTCGGTTCGGTCGTTAAGTAATGTTCTTTAGCTCAAAGGGTTGGTCATGGTGAAGACACTTTAATCCGCTCCATTTTAGCATGAAATTATTTGTCATTATTGACAGTTTTAGAAACTATAGAAATCTAGTGAGTTTTAATAATTCCGTGACAGTTAGTTTTACACCCAGGACTAAGTTGAGGACACTGACATGAGGAAATTAGTGAAAAGCACAAAGTTCTCACGGTATTGAAAACGATCACGGCTTAGGACTAAGTAGGTGTTAGGTCACTATTGCCGGTTTGTAGTTACACTAAATGAAAAATGCATCAAAACTGTGCGCAGTGACCAGCAGAGGAGAAGCAAGGATCAGCACAGTCGCTTAATGTGCGATTCTCTATTCGCCACTTGCACATATTATTATTAGCAGTATCGTATATTATTATATCCCGTATCTGGAACTGACTACCAGCATTCTTAAACTGAATGCACAAGATGTGGCATCTTTTCGTAGTCTTTTAAAAGAAACAAAGTTTTACTGGATGTCAATGCAATTACTGCATTTGATATTTCTTCTTAAATTGATTCTTAGATTGTGTACACTTTTTTCTCTTTTTTAGTATTTTAAACATACAGTAGTTTAGGGATTTTTCTATTCGTATTTTTAATCAGCCTTCCATTTTTCAAGTTATCTATTTATCAATACGCGCAAACTGTTTTAGATTTTTATCCTTCTTAATTCTTAGTTTTTAATTGTCAATCACTTTTATTAATGTGCAAATGGCGAATGCGGAAATGTCCGAGTTCGGTTCGCAGGTGTGTCCTCAAATTCTTGTTTCCACTTTTTTCCTTTCCGTGTAACTTTAAGTAAGTAGCTTCAAGTACCCTTCAAATTTTAAACAAATTTCAAAAGCGAATACAGTGCATTAGGGACCTTAAGCAACGACTACGACGACGGCAGTGAAAACATCACTAAAAAATGAATTTGGGTCCTTTCAAACTTTATCGCGTCTATTTGGAACCGCTCAACTATTCAAATGTAGGCGACTTCAGTTTCCTGGAGTTGAATTCTTAAGGGATTTATCCATGTTCAAATAGAAAAGGGAAAATGTGTGGTAGTATGTCCACGTCCTCCACAAAACGTCGCATTGGAAGGTTTTGACGTCGTAGTCGTGCAGTGGACGTCAAAGAAATATACTAAAAAGCGTGATGCACGTGCAGAGCAGTTGTTTTGCTCGTTTTTGACGTTGTTGTCGTCTTTGCTTAACGTCCCTAATAATATAGTGTGAACTGCTGAGAATACATATCATACATATCTTCATATTTTGCAGAATACCAGTTGTATTAGAAAGGCGTAGGTCATCTTAGAAAGGGAGAGGTGGAGGAGGGGGGGGTGGCACCCCTGCACACTCCCACTAGATCCGCCGCTGGGCCTATAGTTTTATACATATTGATTAATGGAAAAATATGTTTACAGAATGAATCCATAGATTTGTACACATTAAAAACAATGAATGTTATTGTAGAAAATTAGTTTATGCTAGTTCATTCAAAAATACAAATTACGCATAGTTATTCATATTTTTAAATATTTCTTCTTTTGTTTAGCTACGATTTGCACCAAGTCACTCGTGACGTTAGACGGTAGATTGTAACTCATCCCTGATGAACATTGTAATTACCTAGTTTAAAGAATCGCAGTTTTTAGTTTGCACATTACTGAGTCATGAGAAAAAAAATGTCCATTAAAGATAAAATGTCTTGAAGAAACACAGTCCCGTTATTGCACATGTACCAAATTTTCTTGCAGGATTTTGCAAATGCAAAATATGCGAGTAGTGTCCGGTTACAGAACCTTTACGTTGTGCACGGTTAAGTTCGATACTACATTGATCCTTCTCAAAATTACAGATCAATGATATATTGTTTCCGTTAGGTTTCGATTTGTGTAAAGTCGGGAATATTTGGCGTTGCTTTCTTTGCCGTTGGTTGGAGAACCGAGGAAGTAAAGCACTTTGATGCCAATTTGCAGGCCTGTTTCTTCCGACAGCTTCCATACAAACTTAGATACTAATCGTGGAGGAATAAGCAAAAATGGAACAGCAGCATAAAATACTATATATGAAGAAAGTAACCCATGTTTTGGAACAGAGATATAGCCACCTTGACGTCATGTGGAAACGCTCTATACCAAGATGTCAAGGAATGTGAATGAGATTATGCACTTTGCTGTCGTTCTGTTAGCTGTTCACTGGGTGGAATTACCATTTACTATTTCGTCTGTAGATGGAATACCATGATACTATCCTTCACATTGCTCTATTCACTTTACGAATTGGCATTTAGGATTATTCTAGTATTTTCATTATGGTCGCTTTGAAAGTCAAAGCAAAATTAAGGTGTTATCAAATTTAGGCCCTGTCCACACGTATCTGTTTTCTTATGAAAACGCAACTTTTTGTTTACGGATACGGCTTCCGCCCACACGTGTCCGACGTAAACGAAAACGGAAACGAAAACGCTGAGGACAGACTATCAGTTCCAATCTACTCCGTGCAATATTAGAAACGTAGTGAAGATGGCGGACGGGCGCTTCCCTTTCTTGTCTTTTATACTTGGGCTTATTTCTGACCTAATTGCTTATTTTCAAGCAAATTTAGCTTTGTTAATTCTACAAGCTGATTATTCGAGGAGGCGGCAGAACATTATCAGGTTACTTTCGTTGCCAGTGTCAAGAGGCGGAAGGTTGGATCTCCCTTTTGGTTGACTTTGTTTTTGCCCTGATTTTGACATTTTAAACTGTTTCTGCGACTTTGACGAACGTCACAACAATATAAACCCACACCAAAGAAATTCAAAGATGGCGCCAATTTATTATTTCGCGGGCTCATAATAGCGAACACGTATGCGTCAAGCATGGGCAGTCGGGTAAGTTATCGTTTTCAAAAGGTGTGGACGGGCGAATTAACGATGCGAAAATGCTACGAGTGGACAAGAATTTTTTTGTAAAACGGAGAAGAAGATTTGCGTTATCAAACGAATACAGATACGTGTGGACAGGGCCTTAGGGAAAACGTGGAAAATTGAAGCCTGGAACAGGACAACAAAACAAGATCGATTACCATACAAAGTTTACCAACCACGATCGATTTACAAAAGGATTGTGTAGAGAATCAACTTCGGGGTACATAGCACATAATTATTTGTTAATATCGCAACCTTAAAACAGGAAATTAAAAAATACGAATTTTATTTAAAATATTTTAAAACCTTTTGTCTAAATAATGAGAACCCTTAAAAAACTCAAACCAGTCACTGAGGAACAAAGTGCGACAGTAAACATGCTACCTCATCTGGCATCTTGTTGCCTTCCATGTTCATGTAAACAATGGGAAAAGGTTACCCTTCACGTTTTAAAGACAGGTTACTGTTTAAGCAATAGAAAAACGTTTTCCGTGTTTGCATAGCCTGATATAAACACGAGAGGGGTTGGGAGAATTCGAGACAGTTATGCAAACCCGAGACGAAGTCGAGGGTTTGCATAACTGTCGAGAATTCTCCCAACCACTCGAGTGTTTGTATCAGGCTATGCAAATACAGGAAAAAAGTTTTCTATTGCTTTTATAAAAAGAACTTTTCCGAGAAAAAACGCAAAACTCCTTGTTTAGGACAATGATTAAAAGAGAAATTCTCACCAGTCACGAAGTCTTGTACACGAAGCTTGTACGCGTAATCACTTCTTGTTTTGCAATAAAGATGCTTTCCAAAAACACGGGTTTTTCTCACTTAAAATGTCAGCTTAAGCGAAAAAAAAATTGACACAGCATGTTTCCTTAGCTTTTCCAAATTGGTGCTTGCGTGATTGGCGCGCGAAAAGCAAAACATCTTGACGCCACTACCATGTTTACATACTCTCATGCAAACACGCCTCTCCGCCAAGCAGAGTGCGCGTACTATCTTAGTTATTTTATAAAGTCCTGTAGATGACAAAAACCGCCTCCCTGAATAAAACATCGTAACTTGTTGAGGGAAATAGAGGAAACAGGGAACGCTGTTTTAAATCTGACACAAGACGCTGTGGGAGCGTTTATTTGGGCGTCGATCTACTCGGCGTGAAGTTTTTTTTTATTAAGGAGTAGTGCAGTAGCATTTTATATTTTAGGGGTTGATTGAGATGTGTGAAGTCGAAGGCGTGGAGTTATATTGGACGTGGGTTGGTAAAAAGATAATGGTTGTAGTTGTTTGTCCATGGTTGTAGTTTATCCATGAAACTGGTTTTCTCGTAGAATTTATTTTGGAGTAACAAAAAATCTTTTTTTCGAAGGTAAAAGTGATTATAGGTGCTGCAGTGAGGTAGTTGTGGGAGTGCTAATTTAGTTTTGAAGGGGTAGTGAAGTTAAAGTCTGACGAAATGTGGTGGTGGTAGTGAAAGTTCTTATCGATAGTGAAAAAATACTTGAACTTATTTTTAAACGTTGTTAGGCTTTCCGTTTAAGATTGTTTTCGGTTATTCTTGATAATATTAGAATGGAGAGAACATGGATAAAGGAAAGT